AGCCAATAGCTTATGCGGCCTGGAAGTTTCTATTCTCCTGCCACCGCCCTGTATCCTTCCAGTCTCAAAGAGGCTCAGGGACGCCAAACAGGATGGCAGAATCCAGAACTTACCTAAAGAGGAATAAAGACTTGTCCAAGGGTCAGAAGCGGCTTCTTGGTGGAGACTGGACCCAAGCCAGTCACTAATGCAAGAATATTCAAAACGCCGGGGGCTGAGACCCAGGGTGCGCAATTCTTTGCTTCATCAGCCAGCCCAGTGACCAAGGCCTTCCGAGAAAAGCTGAAGTCATCATCCCCATCCAAGAAGTCAGAAAAAAATTAGGTTCTGGGAAAGACCTCGCCTCTAACACAGATTTTATGGTGCGGCCGTGAGTCAGCAGAGAACTACTGTTATGAAAAACACCTTAAACTGGGCGGTCGTGGTGGCTCATGCCTGTAATCCAAGCACTTTGGGAGGCCGAGGCAGGGGAATGACAAGGTCAGATCGAGATCATCCTGGGTGACATGTTGAAACTCCATCTCTACTAAAAATACAAAAATTAGTTGGACGTGGTGGCTCGTGCCTGCAATCCCAGCTACTCAGGAGGCTGAGGCAGGAGAATAGCTTGAACCAGGGAGTTGGAGGTTGCAGTGAGCTGAGTTTGCGCCCTTGCACTCCAGCCTGGTGACAGAGTGAGACTTGGTCTCAAAAAAAAACAAAAAAATAGAACAACACCTTGAGCTCCACACACACCTTCAGTACTGTTATGAGAGGGCTCCCAATCCAGACCCAACAGAGGGTTCTTGGACCTCGTGCAAGAAAGAATTTGGGGCCAATCTATAAAGGGAAAGCAAGTTTATTAGAGAAGTGAAGAAAAAATGATGGCTTCTCCATAGACAGAGCAGTGTATGGGCTGCTCAACTGAGTATACTTATAATTGTTTCTGGATTATTTGCTAAACAAGGGATGGATTATTCAAGAGTTTCCCAGGAAAGGGTCAGGAATTTCCTAGAACTAAGGGTTCCTCCCCTTTTTAAACTGTTGGGTAACTTCTGGATGTGGTCATGACATTTGTAAACTGTCCTGATGCTGGTGGGAGTGTTTTTTAACATGCTGATGCACTATAATCACCGTATAATGAGCAGTGAGCACTACCGGAGGTCGCCATCTTGGTTTTGGTGAGTTTTGGCTGGCTTCTTTAACTCATCCTGTTTTATCAGCAAGGTCTTTGTGACCTGTATCTTGTGACAATCCTATCTCATCCTGTGACTAAAAAAGGCAGGTGAATCGCTTGAGGTCAGGAGTTCGAGACCAGCCTGGGCAACGTGGAAAAACCTCATCTCTACTACAAATCCAAAATTTAGCCAGGCGTGTTAGCAGATGCCTGTAATCCCAGCTACTCGGGAGGCTGAGGCACAAGAATCACTTGAGCCTAGGAGACAGAGGTTGCAGGGAGCCAAGATCGCACCGCTGCACTGCATTCCAGCCTGGGTAACAGAGCAAGACTCTGCCTTAGGAAAAAAAAGAAAAAAAAAAAAAGAATGCCTAACCTCCTGGGAATGCAGCCCACCAGGTCTCAGCCTCATTTTACCCAGCCCGTATTCAAGATGGAGTTGCTCTTGTTCAGATACCTCGGACAGTACCACAGGGTGCACACCATGGAGTGTGTGTGTGTTTGAGGAGCCCATAGGTCGTTGCACTGAGCTTCCGCCCTGCTATGAACTTAGGGTTGCCACCACATCTGTGCAGTGGCTTGCAAGGGCCGTCATACCCACTTTTCTTTGAGTAAATCATTCTCATCTATTCGGCCTTTCTTGGGTGCCTGGTACCATGTAAACATCTTTTTATTCCTCTCCAAACCTCCTTCTGGTAGGTGTTAACACTCATTTTATAGATGAGGTTCAGAGGTTAAGGCACTTCCTAGGAGTGGAATCCAGGGGTCATTTTGTGGCTTAAGTAGCTCCTAGGTGGGCATAATAGACCTTGGCCTCAAGGCTAACTGGAAAGCAACTGTTCTCTTTTTTTTTTTTTTTGAGATGAAGTCTCACTCTCTCACCCAGATTGGAGTGCAGTGGCGCGACCTCAGCTCACTGCAACCTCCGCTTCCTTGGTTTAAGCGATTCTCCTGCCTCATCATCCCAAGTAGCTGGAACTACAGGCGTGTACCACGATGCCCAGCTAATTTTTGTATTTTCAGTAGAGACGGGGTTTCACTATGTTGTCCAGACTGGTCTGGTCTCAAACTCCTGACCTTGTGATATGCCTGCCTCAGCCTCCCTAAGTGTTGGGACTACAGGCATGAGCCCAGCCTTTTTCTCTCTCTCTTTTTTTTTTTTTTTTTGGTGTTTTTTGAGATGAGGTCTTGTTCTGTTGCCCAGGCTAGAGTGCAGCGAGGCAGAGATGGCTCAGTGCAGCCTCCACGTCGTAGGCTCAGTCGATACTCCCACATCAGCCTCCCGAGTAGCTGAGACTATAGGCGTGCAACAACGTGCTCAGCTAACTAAAAAAAATTTTTTTGTAGAGATGGGGTCTTGCTTGTTGCCCAGTCTGGCCTTGAACTCCTGTACTCAAGTGATCTGCCCCCTTGGCCTCCCAAAGTACTGGGATTCCAGGCATGTGTCCCTGTGCCTGGCCAACACTGCTCTTAAGCTCTGCTCCACTTGCCTTTGTTTGGGATGCTGGCTGGATCACACCCGTCTACCTTGAGCTACATCTTGGCTAACTTCTTTCCTGTCAATATTTTGTTTTCTATCGTTTCATTACAAGCCAGGCCAGCATCACGCCACTTAGGCCCTAACGTATTTATTCTCAACTCTGCTAACTCATATGTTGGGAAGAAAAAGATTACACATCAACCTATGAGCTAGAAAAAGGCCCTTCTACCAAAAAGTATGAGGTATGGTTTTTTTTTGTTTTTTTTTGTTTTTTTTTGTAACAAGCATTGAAGACGTCAAAATTTCTTTCTTCTTTTTCAACCTGGTAATCTTTGTAAGCTCCTAGTTTGAGATTTTAAAGGTCATCTCATTGCACATTTAGTATAAGTGCTGGTGGTCATTTCTTGCAGGTGTTTTGAGAGGGGCCCATTCATCTCTTTGAACTGAAAAACATCTTTTCCTCTTATAACAGTACAATAGGCTGGGTGCAGTGGCTCACGCCTGTAATCCCAGAACTTTGGGAGGCTTAGGTGGGCGGACCACTTGAGGCCAGGAGTTTGAGACCAACCTGGCCAACATTGTGAAACTCTCTCTATATAAAAAATACAAAAATTACCCAGGCATGGTGTTGCGTGCCTATAGTCCCGATACTTGGAAGGCTGAGGCACAAGAATCACTTGATCCTGGGAGGCAGACGTTGCAGTGAGCTGAAATCATCACTGCATTCCAGCCTGGGCAACAGAGTGAGAAAAAAATAAAACAAAAAAAAAATAATAATAAAAATAAAACAAAACCTTTTATAATCCAGCATTCCTCATATTTATTTGACCCAGAAACATTTTTGGAGAAACGACACTTGTTATGGATAGAATTGTGGCTCCTAAAGAGATATGTCAAAGTCCTAAGCCTCAGTTCTTCTGATGTGACCATCCTGGGAAACAGATCCCCGCAGACATATTATAATTAGTTTGGATGGGGTCACTCTGGACTACAGTGGACCCCTAATCCAATATGGCTGACGTCCTGATAAGAGCAGAAGGAGCACAGGCTCCCAGCAAGACTCTTCCCATCTGGGAGTGATGCATCTAGAAGCCAAGGGACACCAAGGCTTGCTGGCCAACACCAAAAGCCAGAAGAGTCAAGAAGCATTCTTTCCTAGAGCCCTCAAAGGGAGCATGGCACTGCCAACATTTTTTTTCATTCTTTTTTTTTTTTTTGTAGATGAAGTCATAGTCTCTTGCCCAGGCTGGAGTGCAGTGGTGCCATCTCAGCTCCCTGCAACCTCTGCCTCCTGGGTTCAAGTAATTCTTCTGCCCCAGCCTCCCAAATAGCTGAGACTACAGGCTCCCACCACCAGGCCCGGCTAATTTTCGTATTTTTAGTAGGGACGGGGGTTTCACCATGTTGTCCAGGCTGAACTCCTGGCCTCAAGGGTTCCACCTGCCTTGGCCTCCCAAAGTGCTGGGATTACAGGCATGAGCCACCAGGCCCAGCCACTGCCAACATCTTGATTGTAGACTTCCTGGCTCCAGAACTGGGAGAGAATACATTTCTGTTTTTTGTTTGTTTGTTTGTTTTTTTGAGATGGAGTTTCGCTCTTGTTACCCAGGCTGGAGTGCAATGGTGTGATCTTGGCTCACCGCAACCTCCGCCTCCTGGGTTCAGGCAATTCTCCTGCCTCAGCCTCCTGAGTAGCTGGGATTACAGGCACGCGCCACCATGCCCAGCTAATGTTTTGTATTTTTTTTAGTAGAGACGGGGTTTCACCATGTTGACCAGGATGGTCTCGAGCTCTTGACCTCGTGATCTACCCGCCTCGGCCTCCCAAAGTGCTGGGATTACAGGCGTGAGCCACCGCGCCTGGCCCATTTCTGTTGTTTTAAGCCACTCTGTTTGTGATACTTGGTTCTGGCCACTCTGGGAAACTAATACAGCATCCATTAGCATCTCTCAGACACAGTTTGAGAAACTCTGAAACTAGAATCATTCAAAAGCAACCCCTGACAGACCAAAAAAGATGAAATAGTCAGCCAGGTGCAGTGGCTCACACCTGTAATCCCAGCACTTTGGGAGGCTGAGGTGGGCGGATCACAAGGTCAGGAGATTGAGACCATCCTGGCCAACATGGTGAAACCCCAACTCTACTAAAAATACAAAAAAATTAGCTGGGCGTGGTGGTGCATGCCTGCAGTCCCAGCTACTCAGGAAGCCAAGGTAGGAGAATTGCTTGAACCCAGGAGGCAGAGATTGCAGTGAGCAGAGATGGTGCCACTGCACTACAGCCTGGGTGACGGTGTCAGACTCCATCTCAAAAAAAAGATGAAATAATTAGTCTGTAGAGGAAATTGTTTTTTTCAACTTCCATGTAGCATTTGTTTTATTTCTATTAAGAGGAAATACATTTGAACAAAGAAGCTCTCATAGCACTGGCAGTTTTACATACGTCTCTGTTATTCTAATATTTTTACTTTCTGGGCTTGGTAACTCTTCAATGGACACAGAAGCTATGACCTAGAGAGACTATAAAGTTGCTGGTAAGCACAGGCCCAAAGCCCTGGGCGTCCCCACTTGAAGACGATGGTGTGTAGATGAACAGCTTAGGCCTTGGGCAAAGCTTGTGCTGGCTGAGAGCTGCAAGCCTGGGGCAGTGATCCTGGCTGCTCTCTGCTGCTTCCAGGCTCCTCTGTCTTACATTTAATGCCCAGGAAACTCAGTATTTTCATGAGCAGCAAATCTACAATCTCTCCTTCCTCCGACAGCTGCAAGAGAGAAAGAACCAAGCAATGTACATAGAACCATTCTCTTTGGGGGCTTTGTTTTCTAAGAGGAAAACACTATTTTTAATTTAATTTGACTTAATTTTATTTTGTTTTATGTCTCCCTCTGTTGCCCAGGCTGGAGTGCAGTCTCGTAATATCAGCTCACCACAAGCTCCACCTCCCGGGTTCAAGCAATTCTCCTGCCTCAGCTTCCTGAGTAGCTGGGATTACAGGTGTGTGCCACCACGCCCGGCTAATTTTTGTATTTTTAGTAGAGACGTGGTTTCACCATGTTGGCCAGGCTGGTCTCAAACTCCTGGCATCAAGTAATCCACCTGCCTCAACCTCCCAAAGTGGTGAGATTACAGGTGTGAGCCACTGCATCACGCCCAGCCGGAAACACAGTTCTATTGTCCCGTCTGCTCCCAGCCTAGGTCACTTCACTGTGCAGAGCTGTTTTAGGATGGGAAGGCCTCCCTCTGGGAACCCCAGGGTTGTGTGCTCCATCCTTTATCCTCAGCGAGCTCCCTTCTCCTCTCTGTTGAGGATGACTGGGTTTTCACTGCAACATTTCAACTTCCCAAGCCAGAGCAGAGTAAGCCTCAGCTGGGGGGCTGACCCGCAGTTAAGCAGCACTGGTAGCACGTGGGCCCCGTACTGAGATGAGGGTCTCCCCTTTTCCTCTAGGTCAGAGTGTTGGTGGTGGTGCCTTCTTTCATCATTTTTTTTTTTTTTTTTTTAAATGAGACAGAGTCTAGCTCTGTCATCCAGGCTGGAGTGCAGTGGCTCAATCTAGGTTCACTGCAGCCTCCGCCTCATGGATTCCAGAGATTCTCCTGCCTCAGCCTCCGGAGAAGCTGGGATTACAGGCAACCATTACCACATCACGCCAGCTAATTTTTCTATTTGTGGTAGAAACGAGGTTTTACCATGTCGGCCAGGCTGGTCTCAAACTCCTAAACTCAGGTGATTCACCCTGCTCAGCCTCCCCAAGTGTTGGGATTACAGGGGTGAGTCACCGTGCCAGGCCCTTTAGTATTTTATTATTATTCCTTCTGCTTGCTCTGTTTACCTCCTGGCCTAGCCTGGTATGGGAGGAAGTACTGGGAATGAAAAACTCAATAGGTGTTTCTCTCCGGCTTTCCCACGCTTCTCAACCATACATACATATTTAAGAGTGACTTAAAGCCAACAAAGAACTTCTAGGAAACAAGAACAGCAGACGTCACATAAGGGATGTAGGTGCCAAACAGTAACCTTCAGTAAACTGGTGCGAAAATGCCCTCCACCACCCCAACAGAGGCTGTTAAGAATTTAAGCACAGGCTGAGCACAGGGATTCATACCTGTAATCCCAGGATTTGGGGAGGCCAAGGTGAGAGTGCTGCTTGATCCTAGGAGTTCGAGTTAATCCTGGGCAACATAGTAAGACCCCATTTCTACAAATAATTTTTTTTTTTGAGACAGAGTCTCACTCTGTCATCCAGGCTGGAGTGCAGTGGCGAGATCGTGGCTCACCACAACCTCTGCCTCCCGGATTCAAGCGATTCTCCTGCCTCGGCCTCCCGAGTAGCTGGGACTACAGGCGTATGCCACCATGCCTGGTTAATTTTTGTATCTTTTAGTAGAGATGGGGTTTCACTATGTTGGCGAGGCTGGTCTCGAACTCCTGACCTCATGATCGGCCCACCCTGGTATCCCAAAGTGCTGGGATTACAGGCATGAGCCACTGTACCTGGCCCAGTATTTTTTTAAATTTTAAAATTATATTAAAAATAGGAAACACTTCATGAATTTGCCTGTCCTCCTTGTACAAGGGGCATGCTCATCTTCTCTGTATCATTCCAACTTTACCATATATGCTGTTGAAGTGAACACTGCCTCAGTATTTTCAATAATTTTGTGCATGAAGCAAACTTTGTATTAAGTAGTTATGTGTGGAATTTTCCATGTGTGACCTCACGTCAGCATGCAAACAATTTTGGATTTCAGAGCATTCTGAACTGATTTTTGGTTTAGGGATGCCCAATTGGTATAAGATACCCAGCTGGTGTCTGCTGGACAACTGCTTGCTGTGTGGTCACAAAAGTGTTCTGTATCACATGAGAGTTTCGTAGAAATAAAAATTTGTGTTTTCCTTTCTAGACACAGATCCAGGACACACGTTACAAGTGTATCAGAGGCCATGTAGCAACAGAGGAGGGGCAGCATTCTTTGTATTCTTTAATCCTGTGGGCAATAATTTCCTGGTTTCGAGGAAAATAACTCTTAAATAATGATCCTTTAACATGATGGAGTATGTCACCTTTATGAAACCTTTTGCAATTGAGAAAAACAACAACAATACCAAAGTGTTGCTCTTAAATTGAAACGGAAAAAAATCAAAAAAGAGTGTCTTAAGGGTTTGTTAGGCACGCAGATTTTTCTTACTTTCTTTTGAGACAGGATCTTGCTCTGTCACCCAGGCTGGAGTGTAGTGGCATGATCCCAGCTCACTGCAGCCGCCACCTCCTGGGTTCAGGTGATCTCCCACCTCAGCCTCCTGTGTAGCTAGATGTACAGGTGTGTGTCACCACACCCGGCTGGGGCATACAGATTGAAAGAATCTTTCCTACTGGGACAGGAAGGGTGAGCTGCATAATATGTCACGCTTCACACAGGCACACCTCCAGAAGGGCAGGAAAAAAACAAAACGAAAACATTCATCTGAGTCAGACAGACCCAGGTTGAAACCCCACCTTTCCTGCAGTCTAGCTCTGTCGTCCTTAGGTAAATGATTTCAACTCTGTGAGCCTTGGTTTTCTTCTCTGTAAGATGTGAATAATTACATCTACTTCAGAGAGCTGTTTTGAGGACTGAATACAATGTGTGAAGCCTTCAGCACAGATTCCGCTGTGAAGAGAGCACTCTGTAGATGAGGCTGGTGGCCGTTATTAACCTGCTGTCTGCTTGCTCATATCCCTCTTCCTGCAGGGGGTGAGAGGTCGATCCACTCTTCCACTGGTGGGAGGTCTATCGTGAGTACCCAGCTTGTTGCCCTTGGAGCCATGATGACAAGGGTTGAGGTTTTGGAGTGTAGAATGGGTTCTCAACCTTGGCTGTTCACTAACATTAAAATTACCCAAAGAGAGGGCTAGGCATGGTGGCTCATGCCTGTAATCCCAGCACTTTGGGAGACCGAGATGGGTAGATCGACTGAGGTCAGGAGTTCAAGACCAGCCTGACCAACATGGTGAAACCCTGCCTCTACTAAATAAAAAAATTAGCTGGGCATGGTGGTGGGCACCTGTAATCCCAGCTATTTGGGAGGCTCAGGCAGGAGAATCACTTGAACCTGGGAGATGGAAGTTGTAGTGAGCTGAGATGGTGCCACTGAGCTCCAGCTTGGGCAACAAGAATGAAACCTCCATCTCAAAAAAAAAAATGACTCAAAGAGATTTCAAACACACCAAGGCCTGGCTCATTCCCTCAGAGATTCTGTTGGTATTGGTCTCTGATCGTATTGGTGTCTGGTGGTGTAAGTCTCTGGTGGTATTGGTCCCGGGTGGTATTGGTCTCTGGTGGTATCGGTGTTTATTGGTATTGTTCTCTGTTGGTGCTGGTGTCTGTTGGTATTGGTCTCTGGTGGGGCAGTAGTTGTTTCTAAAAGGCCCCAGGTGATTCTAAGGTATACTCAGGGTGGAGGTCACTGATATAGTGAACAGAGTCCCAAATTGGGAATCAGGAGACCTGGCTCTGGTCCCAGGCCTACTCCTTACTTGCTTGTGATTTTGGAGATTTAATGTCCTTCACCTGTGCCTCAGTTTCCCCTCCTGTGAAATGGGGGCTCTGAACTGCAATGATCTCTCCAGTCCCCCTAAAGTCTAACGCTGCTCCAGCTTCTTCATAGTTCAGGGTCAATGACTGATGAAGAATAGACCAAAGACACTCACCTGATAGCATTTTTGCTCCTCACTGAAGGCCACCAGGATGACAGAGATAAACAGGTTCAGCACCACAAACGTCATAAAAACGATGCAGGACCCAATGAGGAAGGAGCCAAGCACTGGGCTATAGTCCAGGACCTGTCAGAAGGAAAACCAGGGTCAGCCAAGCGCCGTGGCTCACGCTTGTGATCCCAGCACTTTGGGAGGCTGAGGTGGGCAGATCACCTGAGGTCAGGAGTTGGAGACCAGCCTGGCCAACATGATAAAACCCCATCTCTACTAAAAATACAAAAATTAGCAGCTTGTGGTGGCAGGCACCTGGAATCTCAGCCACTCAGGAGGCTAAGGCAGGAGAATCACTTGAACCCAGGAGGCAGAAGTTGCAGTGAGCCGAGATCACACCTTTGCACTCCAGCCTGGGTGACAAGAGTGAGACTCCATCAAAAAAGAAAGAAGTGGGGGAAGGGGGGAAAGGGAGGGAAGGAAGGGAAGGAAGGCAGGCAAGCCAGCCAGGGTCATCCAGTATCCTTCGTCCCAGCAGCCACCTCTCCCACTGGGAACCCTCGGAAGGAAAACAATCCTCAGAGCTAGGCAGAGCTTGAAGCCAGGAAGATTCCTTCTGCCTGGGGCTGAGGCTAGGCAAGGGAAGGAGCGGGCAGCCCCTCACTTTCCATGGCTGCCACCTCCAAAGACGGCCGCTTTTTCTGCCCAGGGCAGGGGGAGTTTCCTGCACAGCCCTCCCCTGAGTAGCCAGCACCTGATGTTCCTCTGTGAGCCGAGGTCCCAAGGGCAAGCTATAGGCTCTAGCAGGAGTGTCCACCTAGGGGAGGGGGACATTTCTGTTTGTCCAAACTTGCCTGGTGCCTGCCAGGCCATGGGCCCAAGGGATGGCACGGGGTGGGGAGGACAGGGAGTGCCTTTTCTAATCTTCGTAGAGGCTCAGCGTAAATCGCAGCCCTCATGCCCTCATCCCGTTACCTCCTCGTAGTTGAAGATTCCCAGTTGAAGGCTGATCATCGTCTCTGCCGCATCAAAGAGGGTTTTGTAGGAACGGAGTTTCCAACCAAATATTAAGTTCGACTGTCATGGAAAGAATCCTCATGAACAGGGAAGGAGGCCACCAAGACCCACAAAGCCTGCTGCTTTACAGTCGAATGGGTGGTCTGTGTCAGCCACTGTTGTGGCTGCATTGGTCAAGCTACTGTTCCTACGGTGGTGTGCAAGTGGATGTGTGTACACAACTTGTTTTGTTTGTTTGTGATGGAGTTTTGCTTTTGTTGCCCAGGCTGGAGTGCAATGGCATGATCTCAGCTCACCTCAACCTCTGCCTCCTGGGTTCCAGCAATTCTCCTGCCTCAGCCTCCCAAGTAACTGGGATTACAGGCATGCGCAACCACACCCAGCTAATTTTGTATTTTTAGTAGAGATTAGGTTTCTCCATGTTTATCAGGCTGGTCTCAAACTTCTAATCTCAAGTGATCTGCCCGCCTCGGCCTCCCAAAGTGCTGGGATTATAGGTGTGAGCCACTGCACCCAGCCCCCAC